ACATGCACTTCCAACATTTTAAATTGCCTAATTATCTTTTCTATACCAGTTAAACTATCCTCTCAATAAGGATATCCTCTCCTACCTAACTGTATAATTCAGTGATACTCTCAGTCTTTATTCTGCTTCTTGGAATGTTCTTCCTTTATGGCTACATGATATGGCAGAGGAGCCCAAATTCTTTCTGATCTGTATTCAAGTCCTAATTTGCCAGTTACTTGGTGTATGATTCAGTTACCTAACTTATCTTGAATTCCTCATTTATAAAATTGAGCTAAGATACTATATGCAGGGCTTTCCAACTTCAGCCTACTGATATTTTGGTTGGATATTTTTCTGTTGTGTGGAGCTATGCTGTGCATTGCAAGATGTTTAGCAACAGTCCTGGTCTCTGCCTTCTACATGTGACAACCAGAAATGTCTGTAAGGGGACAAAATTATACCAGTAAGAGAAATGCTGCCATCAGTTAACAATAAGTAAACTCGGGTGACATCTAGTTCCTGATACAATGTAGGCCTTTTACTCCCCTTTAGTCTCCAGGGCCCTGCATTTATCCTGAGGTCTCAACCTTCCTCCTCAAAGTTCTTGTGCTCACCCCTACAATAAAAACAGGATCTAAGATCTGTTCATAGCACCCCCTTTATTACCTATATTATTTCTATGGTTTCAACCATCATCTCTATTCTAACTGCCTGCAAACCAGAAATCAGAAATCTAGGCCTATGTTTCCAAGTAGAAGAAAAAGGCTTTGGAGTGAGATAGGAAGTCCAACCATGAGAAAGTTACTTTAAAAAAAAAAAGATCATCTGTATTTATTTATGCATACAAGAACTGGGGTGAAGGCCAGGGGATTCACCAGAGACAGAATAGGGAGCAGAACCGGCAGATCTACTGAAATACACTGCTGAGGGAACAGTGGTAGAGACAGGAGTGCTCTGCTGCCCCATGTGGGTCAGCTCCCTGGTGGCGGATCAACTCATGTCAAAATAATTGGCAATAGCTTAATAGACCTGAGACACTAATGTCTGTGCCATCAGGAAGGCCCAAGAAAGTTACTTTTTTTGAATCTAACTTTCTACACCAATAAAAGATCTGTCTCTTAGGATGTTGCAAAGTTAACCACATCAAGCACTTAGAACAATATTCAGCATGTAACAGATTATCAGTAGTAGCTGCAATTATCATAAAAAGTCTCCACCTAAATGTCCACTGGGATCCTTCAAATTCAGGTCATTCAAAGCTGAAGTAATCATCCTTTACATGTTTTAGACTGTTTCTTTTCATGTGTCTCCTCTTTCCCTAATGACGCCAGGCAGGAAACCCTGGTTTCATCTTTGAACACACCCTTACCCCATTAGTTGCCAAAAATACTCCATGTACCTCAGCAGTTTTCTTAAGCTTACTGACATCACCCTAACTCAGGCCTTCATTACCTCTTGTCTGTACTACTACAGTAGTCTTTTAAATTTCTGTACTCCCCAAATTCACACTATATACTGCACATTTAATCTTCCTGTAACACTCAGATGAAACAAAGATTTTCATGACATATTATTAGGCTTTAAAAGTAGATTACAAAACAGTATACTATATAAAACTAGTTTTATAAATTATGTAAGTATGTAAAATATACATGTCCTCCCTTTTTAGATACACACACTACAGAAAGACATAAAGGAGGGAGGGAATACTCCAAAGGAAACACTCCAAAATGGTAAGCACTAGTCTGGCTAGTAGAATTATGGGTAATTAAAAAAAAAAAAGTATAAGATCTAAACTTCTGTGACTTCCTCACGTAAGTAAAAAGTCCCAAATTCTTTGCCATACAAAACCTAAGCTTGCTGTAACCACATCTTTTTAATTTACACCTCATGATTTAGCAAAACCAGTCACTACATTGCATATTGCTTTATGCATTCCTTAGTTCTTGATTCTTCTTAACTGTATTTCCATGACCACCTATTCAAATCTATCCAATTCTCCAGGTTTAGTTCAAGTATCTCTAAAATGGTCGTGACATAAGTGAAAAAATTGGTTAGTCAGTATCTGTATTTATTTATGCATACAAGAACTGGGGTGAAGACCAGCGGTGCAGGGTCAGGGTGGAGAGAGAGGATTCATTAGAGACAGTGTGGGGAGCAGAACAGGCAGATCTACTGAAATACACTGCTGAGGGAGCAGTGGTCCCTTCCTGGTGGCACAACGGTTTAAAGCACAGCACTGTGAAGCCAGCAGCAGCCACTTCAGCGCAAATTCAATCCCCAGGCAGGCAGGTGACCCACAGGCGCAGCAGACCTCTCCTGTCTCACACACTACTCCCCTCAGCAGGGTACTTCCTCAATCTGCCTGTTCTGTTCCCCACGTTGTCTCTGGTGAATCCTCTCGCTGATCCTGCACCTCTGGTCTGTACCCTAGTTATGTATGCATAAATAATTCTTGGAAAAAAAAAAAAAAAAGCCCTATCTGCTCTTCCAATTACTGACTTTGGTAAGTTAACTAAAGTCTCTAAAATTCAAATGTTCTAATCTATAAAAGGAAGACAATACAACCTACTCCAAAAAGTAGTAATTAAATAACAGAAGCTTGGGCCCTCCCTGCTGGCATAAGGTTTACTGCACTGCGAAGCTGGCCACAGCCATTTCATGAATTCGATCCCTGGCCAAGGAGGTGACCTACAAGGCGTGGCAGACCTCTCCTGTCTCTCCCATTGCTCCCCTTAGCAGTGTACTTCATCAATCTGCCTGTTCTGCTCCCCATTCTCTTTGGTGAATCCTTTCACTAGCCCTGAACCTCTGGCCTGTACCCCAGTTCTAGATGCGTAAATAAAGAAAATATTCATAAAATAAATAAATAACAAATTAAACAAGTAACTAGCACACCCCATTTGTTTACAATGGGCAAATTTGCAGTTGTGACAAATCTTATCTTAATTTTTACCTTATATTCTCTCTAAGATACAAAGGCCTAAGAATGTTGAGCACGGAACAGCCTCAGAACTCAATTATCACAATTCCTCAGTCCCTTTTGAGTTCTTTTCTTTCTCTACCAGCCTTAAATATTACTCTGCTTCATTTTTCATTTTCTGTACAAATCCTAGAGGGTTCATCCAAAACCTTGGCTTTATCTATCATCCTAAAACTCCTATTCCTCTAATCTGTATCTCCAATTCAAATTTCTTTCTGTAATTCAAGATCTTTAACTCAAAGAGACGAGAAAAATGTCCTATAGGAAACGCAAACTCAAAAATCCTAAAATAAATTTACCCCCACACACACTTGTCCCTCTTCCTATATTCCATGTGGTGCCCAGCATCGGTTAGACATCCTGGACTCCTCTTTTCTTCCCCTCACTGCACATTCAAGTCTTTCAATCTATACTAGACTTCATGTCCTTTTGCATCCCAAACATGTCCAGGTAGTTCCATATCTTAGTGTTTATCATTTTCTCTATTTAGAAAATTCCCCACTTCCTTCTTTGACTAACTTCTATAACCTTTACAATTAAGCTGAAGGATTATCTTTGCTAGGAAACTAACTAGCATTTAAGTATGTACAATATTTCATTGTGCCAAACACCTATACCATCATGTACCATCATGCTTAATAACCATATCACAGCCATACGGGTACCACTACAGTTTTACAGGATGGGAAGGTCAATAGACTTTAACTCATGGGAGGTCATCTATAGATAGGAAATAGAAAAAAAATAGAACCCAGGTTTGTAGGCCTCAGTACACAATCCTATGCACTTTACCAACCCACCACACCCAAACTTCCCTAACCTTTCCCAAACCCCAGAACCTCCTCTTAGTTAGGGACCCTCCTCTAGCTGCTATAAAGAGTCTGTGAAGAACAATATAATCATTAATTATAAGATTATTATGAATAAAATTATAATCTTATAATTTGCTCTTTCCTCAAGTGAGTCTGTGAGCTAACTGAAAACAAGGTCTTTTTCATTTTTCTATTTCCCTGCAACCAGCAGAGTTCCTGGCACTGATGCTTAAAAATGTATTGGGTTTCTTCTCCCTTCCCTTTTTGGTCCCTAAATCTCATTCCCCCTGCCCATCTTTTCACATCTCTCTTAGGACACTTCTGCCTCATATTAGCATTTTATGTGTCTTATTTCCCTAACCTGACTATGAGCTCTTTAACGGTAAAGGACAGTTTTTTTAATTATGCAGATACTTTTGCCTGTGGTAACCATTTAACTAGTAATTGGTAAATGAGGATGTAATTAAAAGAGATCCTATTTAACTATGTTTTCCGTTTTATTACATAGATTTTTCCCTCCCAACCCCATTAAACACTAACCCTACTACTAGCAAGTCATGGGCCCCCAGCCACAAAGAGCTTTATGATTAATTTATCAACATTCCCCGGTGTGTGGAAATACAAATTCGAATTACAAAGGAGTTCCTGGTCTGTGAATAAATTCAATCTAACGATGACTCCAGAATCAAAATAGGATGCAACACTAGACTGTTCGAGTATGTGAGTCACGTGGCTCTGCAGAGTGACGGCAATTGTCAACGTGGTTTCAGGGTCACGAAAGAGACCCCATGAACAGTCGTTGATTAATGCCTCGGGATATGGCGGAACCGCTCCGCCCCAGCATTTCCCTGTGGGAGTGCGGACAGGAAAGTGACCGTCCGATTCTCCTCTAATCTAAGCAAAACCCCAGCCCACATCTCGAACTTCCCTCCCCCTTCCCAACTCGGGCCTCCCCTGAGGGGTCTCTCACCTAGGGGTAAGGCCCTGCATCTAGAGTTCCCATCCAACGGACCCCACACTTCGGTCTCCCTCCCCACACCCCCACACCTGAAGGGTCGCGGCCACCAACCATCGCCCACCTGCGCCCAGGCCCAGTGAGTCTCTCCTGGACCTTCCTACTCCGAGCGGCCACGCAGCGCGGGACTACAGGGCAGACCCAAACAGCCGCAGGCGGCCCTCCTCCCACACCGACCCCGACCGGCCCGAGCGGCCTCCCGGCCCACCTGCTCCGCCGACACCGCCCCCTTCCCCGCGCCGCTGCCGCTGCTCTTGCCGGCGCGCCCGCTGCCGTCCGCCATCTTCGCCGCCCGTGGCTTCCGGTAGTAGACCCGCCCCCTCGCGTCACTTCCTGCCGGCTTCCGCCCACTCGCTGGCGCTTTACATCTCGGACCCTGCGAGTGGCTGCGGCTGCCTCTTCATGTAGGACCTGCACCCCTTTGCAACTGCGGGGGGTCCGCGGCGGTATTCTGACTTATGCAACAAAGATGCACCCAGGAGAGGCGGGGGTGGGGGGAGCCGGACAACTGCACACGGGGCCCGGGACTGCCCGCTGGGCTGTGGGCCCAGGGGGACGAACGTCCCCAGAGAATTCGGTGGAAGGGGCTGTGCTGGAGTCTATACGGCTGTGCAGGTGCACGACCGAGAAAAGCATTTCTCGGAGATGATTTTAATTGCGGAAATCTTCGGCGGGGAAAGGGCCTCAGTTTAGTGTGAGATCACTGGAAGTGGAGGTATTCAATTAAGATGCCCACCAGACCCATTCCTCTCCTCTGTCTTCCCACTGTATAGCCTCTCCCTGTAACCCATAACTACTTATAGTAAAGAGTTTTGAGTACTTGTCTTTCCCTAGCAGGGCAGCGTAAAGAGACTACTGAGAATTCTAGAAGGGTATTGCTGAAGGAGGGGTGGGTGCCCTGATTTCTTTCCTTCCTCAGGCTGGGCTTCACCATCAGGCCTTCTCATCAGCTGCTATCCCATCTTTTGTGTCCTGGACTCCGGATACCTCGACTGTCGGTACTTGGTGCTCAGCCCAGGTAATGTGTAACTTTTTGTTTCCCCAGTGGAAACAAACATCACATAGATTCTCAATGAGTGTTATGTGAATGGGTGGTAGGAAACACGGGTCCAGCCATCCACACATTTGATCGGTGGGTGGGTCACTGTGCCCTCTAAAAAGTCAAAGGGAATTCCAGCCTTCCTGTCTACCATCAAAGCTGGGTCTCCCATGCTTAGAAATCTGAGAACTTACTGTGTCATTCACAGGGCCAGACCCATGGCTACCTCCACTTCCTCCTGGGAACTGCCCCTGGTGGCTGTATGCCAGGTAACATCAACACCAGATAAGCAGCAGAACTTTAAAACATGTGCTGAGCTGGTTCGAGAGGCTGCCAGATTGGGTGCCTGCCTGGCTTTCCTGCCTGAGGCATTTGACTTCATTGCCCGGGACCCTGAGGAGACACTACGCCTTTCTGAGCCACTGGGTGGGAACCTTTTGGGAGAATATACCCAACTTGCCAGGTATCAGGGATGGGGAGGAAGAAGTAGTTAATTTGTTGGGCAGTGTTCTTGGAATGCCAGAAAAGAGAAGAGCTGTCAGTGTCCCTTCCCCCCCAGGGAATGTGGACTCTGGCTGTCCTTGGGTGGTTTCCATGAGCGTGGCCAAGATTGGGAGCAGACTCAGAAAATCTACAATTGTCATGTGCTTCTGAACAGCAAGGGTGAGACCTTCTCTCTTTAGCCTCTCTCCTGGACACTTCTACCTAAACTTAGATTCTTAGGAATTCCCTTTTGTTTCTCAACTGTTTCCTTGGTCAAGGCTTTTAGGAGTGTTTGTAATTCTATTCCTCTTTGAAAGGAATCAAGCTGAACTTCTAAGACAGTATACAAAGTATCCTTGTTCTCTTTCACTCTAGGGTCCATAGTGGCCACATACAGGAAGACGCATCTGTGTGATGTAGAGGTTCCAGGGCAGGGACCTATGCGTGAGAGCAACTCTACTATACCTGGGCCCAGTCTTGAGTCACCTGTCAGCACACCAGCAGGCAAGGTGGGAATTGTGAAAGGAAAAAGGGGGAGAATAGGAATACTTTGAAGTGGTTAATATAGAGAGCCTTGAGGAATGAGGTGGCTGGGATGTGACCACAATATTATGATAAACAGGGATGGGGAGGCTAAGCAGGCTGCTTTTTGTTCCAGATCGGTCTAGCTGTCTGCTATGACATGCGGTTCCCTGAACTCTCTCTGGCATTGGCTCAGGCTGGAGCAGAAATACTTACCTACCCTTCAGCTTTTGGATCAGTTACAGGCCCAGCCCACTGGGAGGTAAGAGGACACCTCTTCAAAACTTAAGGGCCTTCTCTTAAACTCATTCTCCTCCCTTGGCTCTATCAGCTGAAAGATTGTTTTTTCACCTAATGGGAAAACAAACTTTCCCCACACTGTTTGCTCTCACATAGTAAATCATTCCTATGCCATTAGCAGAAGAGCCCATGGGTAGAGTGGCATGTCACTTACCCCTGTGGGCCACTTACATGAATGCATCTTCTTCATCCCCAGGTGTTGCTCCGGGCCCGTGCCATTGAAACCCAGTGCTATGTAGTGGCAGCTGCACAGTGTGGACGCCATCATGAGAAGAGAGCGAGTTATGGCCACAGCATGGTGGTAGATCCCTGGGGAACAGTGGTGGCTCGTTGCTCTGAGGGACCAGGCCTCTGCCTTGCCCGGATTGACCTTAGTTATCTACGACAATTGCGCCAACACCTGCCTGTGTTCCAGCACCGAAGGCACGACCTCTATGGCAGTCTGGGTCACCCACTGTCTTAGGACTTGGCACTTCTGTGAGTTGAGCCCTCCCGTGGTAAGCTGGTGTTGCTGGAGAACCCAGGCACATCGCCTCACTTGGGACCTTGACTGACTTGGAAGAGCACAGGCTCCCCTTGGGAAAGAAGAAATTTTCACCTGAGCTCAGATTTGAGTTTCAGAAAGGTGGAATTTTATATAGTCATTGTTTATTTCACAAAAACTGAAATTAGGCTGAGGGCTGAACAGCACTGGCATAGAAAAAAATATAATCATAAAGTCTGTGTCCGGACATCTCCTTTGGGAACTGAAAGGGGAGGTGGGATGGTACCAGCTGGCTAGGCCCCTATTTTAGGCCCCCTGGCTCAATCAGCATGCCTCCCCACCAAAATCAAAGTGCCACACTCAGTGCATGTCCCAGCCCTATTGTCCCAGGTTGGGATTGGGCATGGGGGGGGGGGAGTGGGAGGTCACAGATGGGGAAGGACAAAGAGGTTGAAACTAAATCATTTCATTGTCACCTATGATGCCCTTTGCCCAAGCCAGAAGAAAGCAAAGGGGGAAAGGGCTGCAGGGTACATTATTTATTTTCACTTGAACATGGAAGGAAAGTAGTACACTCCCCCTTCCCCTTTCCAGGGGGAGTGTATTTTAACTAGCAGGTTCTTCTCCATCCATCCTGTGTGTACACACACCACAGCTGGGAGGGTGGCCAGGCTGACCTAGTCCTCGTACCCAGTCCTCTCTTGAAGAGGGTCTGGCAAAGGGGAAAGGAGGAGCCACACCAGGCAGAGGTGCCAACCATGGAATGGAGGAAAGGAGACAGAGGAGCAGCACCAGAGGCTAGGAGAGAGTGGAGAGGGCCACAGCGTCTGTGTTTTTTAAAAACTGTAATTTGGGAGAGGGTGGTGATTAATTTCCAAAATATACTGCCAAGCCCCACTTTCCACACAGCTCCCTTACTCACAGCCCTTTGGTTTTTCAAAGAAAATTGAAGAAACCTCCTAAAGCCAGAAGAACTGACACCCCCTCAGTGTACCCCAAGCAGTGTCAACCCCCTTAAAAAGACCAGGTTCTGTAGACTCTGCTTCTCCCTATCCATTTGTCTTATGGCTCAGTGGTAAAGTGGCTGTAGAGACACACATTGGGGGTCAGTGGAAAAGGAAAACAGGGGAGCCCAGGCACATGGGTGCAGGGAAGGTGGGGGACACCACTTCCATTTTTCTTTGTCTTTTCCTTAAAAAAAAAAAAAAAAAAGGCAGGGGTGTGATTGGTTGGAAGGGTAGAGAACAAACCCCAGAACAGTATGTAAGCTCCAGAGGTGGGTGGTAGGAACAGTCCCCAGAGAAGTAAGGGGAGGTCAGGGCAATGCTTGCAGCATCAAGTTCCTCAGGAGTTTCTGTCGGCCCAGCTCATAGTCCTCCTCATCCACGTTCACCAGCAGCTTGATGGCTTCGTGGCCCACAGCCTGCTTGAGGGAGTCTGTGATGAAGACACCTTTAAGTGCCTCTAACAACGAGCCGTTGATATAGTCGCGCCAGAATGCATCGAGGTAGGTGAGCTCAGAGAACTTGATGTCACAGATGATGGAGCCCAGGTCCCGAGACTTGAGGATGGTGTTGGCCTGGTTAAAGCGTTCAAACTGGCGCTCAAGTGGGTCCTGCTTGTTGGAGAATACGTTGCCCTGCAGAGCAGTCTCATGCTGGCAGTATTCTGCCCGAACCCGCAGTCTGATGTCTATAGAAACGAACATGCAAAAAAGGGCTGTGAGGGATGAGAACAAGTCAGGCTTGAAAGGCTGACGTGAACAGCAGGCCATAAAGTTGGGCATATCACCTGCCCGATGGCCCCCCTTTCCCCAGCAGCCTTTAAATGGGGCAGGCCCGTGCCAGATTACCCTAGTCACAACAGCACTCCAGCAGGTATTCTAGTTAATTGGCACAGTTCATTTCGACTCTGTACAGGACTGCTTCGTCCTACAACCAGGATGTTACAACAGCAACCAAGCTGACATGTACTCTGCCACAAAGATAGAAGAATTCTCCCCAGAAATTGAATCGACCAACGACAGTGATCAAAGTAAGCCTGGCACTGAGGAGTGGAACCTGCCCAGTGTCCTGCAGTTCTTTCCATTTCCCCTTGGGTCCACTCCACCCCTGGAACCCTTTAACCTCCTCACCACAGGTCTGCTTTTCCTTGGGATCTGGTGTCACTGACTTCCGGCGTTTTCGCTGGCTCCCAAGTGTGGCTCTCCCTCGAGCTGGCCGCTTGCTACACATCTGAGGGCCGGAAGTGGGGCAGCACACCACAGGGTAGTGGGGAGGCACTGACAGAGGGTAAAGGGGTAGACACAGTAGGGTAAAAGAAATCCAAACACTTCTTAGCACTAAGAGCAGTATCAAATGTAACTCCCAAAGAGCACACAGCATAGAAACAACTAAAAGCCTAGAACTAGGAGAGGCACTACCACCTCACCTGGTTTTTACAGGATTTGATATTGTGTTGGGGGAGACAGT